TGATGAGGATCTGTTTATCGTACCATCTTATCTGCAGATGAGGAATACACCACTAGACTACCTCAACGTTTCATTATATATCTCTGTTGTGAGGACTTTCGAGGATTTCCCATCCTGAAATTAGTGTGCCCTAATAACTGAGTGTATATTCAGTTCGCACATCTTTCTCATCATCATCATCATCGTCGACAGCATAACATCAGTTGTTCAACACTGATGCTTCGCTGCCGTATGACCGTGATTTATTTGAAAAGAATAAAGGTTGATAGGGAAGGGACTTAGGGCCTATACCTTTACACACTCAGGCTGATAGCACTGACAGCACCCAAAATCTTCTGAGCCTCTTTCATGCCCCTCTGCCGGTTCACATGTTGGCCACGTCTCTGCTTCTACCATTCTGAATCGGGCACGGAAAACAGTACTCTCCCATTCTGAAGCACGGAAAACAGTACTCTCTTCGGCAAATGATGGCTTGGCATGCACAGTACATGGCCTAGCCAACGCCATTTCTGGTGCGTGCTACATTTTTGAATAGAAGTCCTGATTGCACGACTGAACACGAGCTTCCTAACTGCTTGATTAAGGATTCGCCGACATCTACCGTCACGAGCTGTTCTTGCGCAGTGGGGATCACGTGGTCCTCATCCTGGAAAGCGAGTAGCACCGACAGCACCCAAACGTTTCGTAATCTCCTTTATATCCCTCTGCCAGGTACAGGAATAGCCATCTCCTTTTCGAGGACGAGAACGATGTCATCTGCATATTCTACGTCGACAAGGTTTTCGTCGGGGGCTTTTGGACACATGGGTTTTAATTACCTTCCAGCGTTCGTCTCATTATCTGACCATTCAAGAAATTAATCAAGAGAGAGACTTGTCACTCCTGACGGACACCGCTGAATGTATGGAAGCTTTTGGAGAGCTCCCCCTACATTCTCATACGTCTGGAAGTCTGAGAATACGAAGAACTTATATTGTCTACAAGCCTCTGGGGCATTCCTGATAAATAAAATTGCATACACATCTCTGGACAGCGATTTTTCTGGATGGTTGGATAGCTTTCAGAAACGCTTTGACATTGCTT